TGTGTGAATGTTGGGGTGCAGGGGCTGGCAGTACCCTGCCTGTGAATGTTGGATTGCAGGGGCTGGCACCACCCTGTGTGAATGTTGGGGTGCAGGGGCTGGCACCACCCTGTGTGAATGTTGGGGTGCAGGGGCTGGCACCACCCTGTGTGAATGTTGGGGTGCAGGGGCTGGCAGTACCCTGCTTGTGAATGTTGGGGTGCAGGGGCTGGCAGTACCCTGCCTGTGAATGCTGGGGTGCAGGGGCTGGCAGTACCCTGCCTGTGAATGCTGGGGTGCAGGGGCTGGCAGTACCCTGTCTGTGAATGTTGGGGTGCAGGGGCTGGCGGTACCCTGCCTGTGAATGCTGGGGTGCAGGGGCTGGCACTACCCTGCCTGTGAATGTTGGGGTGCAGGGGCTGGCAGTACCCTGCCTGTGAATGCTGGGGTGCAGGGGCTGGCAGTACCCTGCCTGTGAATGCTGGGGTGCAGGGGCTGGCAGTACCCTGCTTGTGAATGTTGGGGTGCAGGGGCTGGCAGTACCCTGCCTGTGAATGATGGGGTGCAGGGGCTGGCGGTACCCTGCCTGTGAATGCTGGGGTGCAGGGGCTGGCAGTACCCGGTGTGTGGCAGGCAGGCTCTGCCAGCCCCCAGGGCATTTCAGCCTCCTGGGATGGATGATTCACTGAGGTCTGGTGGTACCTGCAGGGGCACCCTGAAGATGATGATGGCACCAGCCACCAGTGCAGAGGGCTATGTATGGGAGGCAGGGCTAAGGGAATAACTGGTGGCACACTTACCTAGTAGACAGGCACAAGCACACAGGAATGCTGTGTGAGAGGGCTGCACTCTTTGAAGAGCCCAGTAAAACCAAGGAGGGATACAGGGTAGTTTACATGCAAATTGACAAAACATTTCACCCAATGGAAAATAAGTGAAGATACTATTCTGGGATAAAGCGAGGAACAAAATTTAATACAATGCAAAGCATCTTAGCAGGCTATTTTAGAAAACTATTTAAAAATAAGAGGTTATAGAAGTCAGTCATCAAGCTGTTCACACTGTTAACCTATATAACCATATGATGTTATTACTGTTAACCTCATCTTCCCTCCCCCTCTTCCTTTCTAATGTTTCCTATACTCCTTGCTTCTTGCCTTTACATTAAAAGAACACTCTGGTAAGGGACTGTACTTGCTTTCAAGGCAACACCATAGCAAGGCCCAAGCCTGACTGTAGCCTCTGGGGACACCCAGACCAAGGTATACTTTTACCTGAGCCCGCATTACGACACAGATTCAGATTTTTTCTTTGCTCTACCGTCCTCTTTCAGACTATGACACATAAGCAAAAGCTATTTAACAATGCTCCTGCTGCAGACTGCTAACTAGCCTATTCTTTCTCCTTGTCATCCTTAAGACAATGTTGCAAATTCTCTGAGCTGTGTTGAACATCAGCATCCATTTCAAGGAGCAGACACTTCTGACACTGAGCAGGCTGGCTAACAGCTTAAGTGGTAACTTTTGTTGGCACCTGCACCACAGCTCAGATCTAAGAGATGTTCTGTGGGCAGCTGCCTGTTGATTTGCTTTCCTAGACACGCGATTGAACCACACTGTACATCCTGTGCTTATGAAATCCCAGCAGGGCTGTATCACAGTACCTACCACTAGAATGTGTGATTTACACCACCTACAAACTGCAACATCTCAAGATAAACCTGCTCCTTATAATGAAGATCCAGATAACTGCAGTTCTCACTACCTACAATGCTTTTTAAGGTCAGTGAGTTTTAAAATAGCTGGGATTTTACAGGACACACTGTGAGATGGTTTTTTGTAAGACAGGCTGATCTGAGACGGAGACTCTTGTCCCATTGCCCCTCTCTCATATGCTTGTGCCAAACACATAAGAAACTTGGGATTGCTTCTACATGAAAGTGTGCATGTTTTCTCATCTTCCTCCAAACCAGCGAGGTGGGAAGCAATTGCCAAATGAGAAGCATATTAATTAGCTAGTGCTGTGCCCAAAGGAATGGGCTTAGGGGAAACCCAGAGCCAAGGCTGAGCTGGAGAAAGTTTGGTCTGGACTGGTCAAACAAGCTGTTGAAATCTTTGGCCTGGTTATCACAGCTTGCATCTCATGCTCCCTGCTCATGCCTGCCCTCCTCCTCCAAAGCTGGGCTGCTTGAGCAGTGCTGGCCAGCAGCTCCTGTCCTGCAGTACCATTGGTGGGACAACTCTCCAGGCCAAAAGACCTCCTCCCTGCCAACACAGAGGGCCTGAGGCCTGAAGATTCCATGGGCTGGTGCTAGGCTCCTTGTCTTTCCTCCTCTTTCCACACAAAGCAAGACTGAGAGGACAGGGGAACCCTATGGATTCCCAAGATGAAGCTGCTGAGATCCACTAAGCACTGCCAAGTGGCTCTGTCCACATACACACATGCTGGTGAATCCAAGTTCCAGGTGGTCCTGTCCCCCAGCTGACAGGTGAGAGTAAACTGGATTTCCTGCATGAACAGCCTTCCATTTTCAAAGGTCACCAATGATTTTGAGCATCCAGCTGGAGTCACCTGGCAGGGCATCTGCTTGGAACACAGGTGAGGCCCAACACCTGTGGAAATCACATCCTTCAAAGATGCCTCCAGCTGTGATTCTCCAAATTGTCTCTGAAATGACAGGCCTGATTCAGAACCCTTTTGACAACCTCAGCTGAGCTTAAATCAAAAAGTCAAACTACTGATTTGCATAGCAAACACAAAAATTTAAATGGTGCAAACCTGGTATTTAAATTTTTCTACCTCAGCTCTGGAAATGCTTATATTCATTACAGGCCAGAAGGTGAGGTCTAGTTCCCTGAGGTAGTGGATGCTTTCAGTTTCCAATAAAGTCAATAAGAATTGTTCACACTCTATGTGAAATACAAACTTTTAGCAGCAAGAAGAAAATTCAATGCATAAACAATATTAAAAAAAACCCTTTAGGCTTACTATCTTTTTTTCCATCAGCTATTCACATGAAGTTCAAGCTATTGTTTTTGATTTGAATAGTATTCCTGGCCTTTTGAACTGCAGATCATTTATAATTTAAGAAAACAAAATCAATGGTTATTTGTTTTATAATGTACTGCTGTCAGTGATGGAAAGGACTACAATGGTTTCTATGATTATTAATTCTTCAAAATAATATACCTGCTCCAGTATCCAATTAATCTGGTTATTAATCAAAGTGCCTTAATTGTAAATTATTAAAAGAGGTCAGACACTGAAGAGTGTGCTATATTTTTAGATTTTCCAGTTTGATTCAAAACACACTAAAAGAGGGGCCCCATAAAATAACCATCTAGAGACAGTCCATGGCAAACATCCAGAAACTATTCTTAATGGAATGGAGTTAGCATGAGCTGAGATCATTCTTTAGCCTTGAGAGAAAAAAAAAAAAGAGAGAGATGTTTTTAGGAAGAGATTTCCAAAGGGATTATGAGTTGCTCTTTGCAAACAATACGGAGGATTTCCAGTATGCATTGTGCTTTTGCCGAGAACTGTGCGTTCAAGGGAGCCAATCAAAGGCCTCCTGTATCTAATGAGGAGGGGGAAATCATGATGGGGAAAGTCCCATAATGACAGGAGACAACAGCTGTTTGTACAGTGACTCGTACAGAAAACTCTGTCACCAAGGAATCTCTCCAAACGTGATTTTACTTATCTGAGACATTATTCATTGAATTAGCATAAGCAGTGAAGTGTGTATGTGGGCGAGAAATCTGAAATCTTATTCATGGGATTACTGAAATGCTATTTTTTCCCGTAATTTCGAAGACAGCAGAGGTACAGAGCTAACATAATAAAAAAGATGTGGGCTTTGGAATCTCAGCAATCTTTAAATCAATGTAGCATGTGTCCCGAAGTTAGACTGACATGTTATACTAAACACAGAGGAAGTTGAAACGGACAGAAGTCTTGATGTAAAGGATTAGTTTTCAAATTTGGTCTCCTAATGGACAAACAGACCCGCACCCTGAAGAGGTAATATCGTTACATGAATCCAAAATTGGGGTTTTCTTTTTGTGCCGTATCAAAACGCCGGAGCACACGGCGGCAGCTCCGTGTTGAGACACCGCGGCCGCCTGTGGCCACAGGGCCCGCTCGGCTGCCTGGGACCCTGCCAGACTCCCCTGGTTCTGTTTGCTAAACAAACGTATCTTACGCACTTCAGCTGCACATGAAAACAAAATTATGAAACAGGGCTTTTAATGTAAAACCCACTTCTAAAAAAAATTTCTGCTAACAATTCCACGTAAGGAACCCAGGAGGTCTTCCTAAGGGCCGTGCCTCCACATCCCAGCCTCCTGCTCTTTTTATTCACGTCTGACACACAGTTCTCTCCGCCCTGTCCCGGTCCCCAGCTCCCACGGCCCCTCAGCACCAATGGTGCCTCAGCCCCAGCACCGCCGCGGGGTCTCGGGGCCGCGCACGTGCCGGGCCCGCGGGCAGCACGAGGCGGGCGGCCCCACGCGCGCTCCCCGCGGGGGTACTGGGCGGAGGCGGCGGCGGCCGTGGGCGATCCCCGCGCGCCAGCGGCGGCCCCGCCCCGCCCCTCCCTCCGCGCCCCGAATGGTTCCTCCCCCTCCGCCCCTCCTCGCGCCGGCGGGGGCGGGACGCGCGAGCGGGCAGAGGGAATCCCTCGGCTTCCCCTGAGCGCGCTCCGCTCTCGCGAGACTTGCGCGGCTCTCCGCATGCCGGCAGGCGCCGGGCTCTCGCGAGAGCGGCGCGGTTCCCACGCCCGGGCTGTTGTGTCTGTGGGGAGAAGCCCGGGCGCTGAGTGGGCGGGGCGCACCGCCCCCCCCCGCCCCGCGCGTGTCTCGCGGGCCCGCGCACGCGCGCTCCGGGCCGCGGGGAGGGGGGCGCTCTCGCGAGAGTAGGAGTTTTGGCGAGAGTTTGTGGAAGATGGCGCCTGTTGTGACAGGGTGAGTGCGGGGCGTTCGCGGCGCCCGCTGGAGCCGCCGCCGCCCGGGGCTGCCTGGGCGAGGCCGCGCCGCGCCCGCCCGCTCGCTCCTCGGCCGCCGCTCGAGGGCACGGGGGACTCCCCTCCGGACGGCCCGCGGGCGGGCCCTGCGGCGCAAACCTCGTGGGGCTGGGGTCCCGCCGGGTGGGCGCACGGAGGAGGCGCCCCGGGTGCCGGCCCGGCAGCGGCCGCGCTCTCCGGCCGGCCCGCGGCGCGGGAGTCCCGGCAGGTCTGGGCGCTCACTTTGCTTTCCTTCTCTCCCGCACGGACACGCCGGTCGGGACTCCGTGCAGGGTCAGTGCTCATCTCGGCTGCTTCGGAGCGGGTCCCGCTCTGAGGGCTCCCAGGGGAGCGGCGGAGCCCAGCTGGGAGGGGACCTGGGGCTGCCACGGGCTCTTCTCCCTTGTCGGTCGCCCCGGTTCGTCCCGCCGTAGGCGGGGGTCCCCCAGGCTCCCCCGGCTACGGACGGGGAGCGCTCGGACAAAGGCTTTTGCTGCTGTGGTTGGAAGTTGAGCGCGGGCCCCCAGCGCCCCTCGCACGGCGGGGCCCGGCCCGGCGCTGTCACTTGGCGGCGGAGCGCTCCCGGGCGCGCCGAGCGCGGGCGGCTCTCCGCCCCTGCTAGCAGGACACCCGCTCCGTCAGGCTGGGCGGCCGAGGTTCCCTTTCTCTCCTCTCTGCACACCATTCCCAGGGCTTTGTTGAGTTTTAGCTGCCTTCCTTCAAATGCTGCGGTGCAGGGAAGGGTAGCAGCCTCCCTACGCCAGTAAGCCACGCTGGATCATAATGAATGGTAGTCTCCATCCCTTTCAACCACACTGGGTAATACTTAATCATGGCTAGCCAGCTGCAGCATGTGTCACTGTAATAAGTGACACCCTCTTAGCCACCTACAGCTGATGAATAATAACAGACCCACTGCTGGTGTACAGTACGCAATCACACCTGCAGTGTCACATTGCACGTTGCCATCCTTGCCACATCTTGATTGCTGCTGCTTATTTCAAGTGCTGGATCCTTAATTTTGGACTACGTGGAGCAAGTGTGACCTCCTCTATGTGTTGAGGGAAGAGACAGTCAGGAGAAGAACAGGCTGATTCTGTACTCCACCTGTTTGTTCCAAATGAAATTTTGTCTTGTTGAAGTATTTCTAGGTCTTTCTAAAACGTAGACCTTATTTTAAGATTTCACAGTGTGTCTGTGACCTTCTGTCTTCCCTGTGGGATTACATTGTCTACAGCATTGGCTCTGTGGTTAGAGAGCAACAGCCTGCTTGGGGGTGGGGTGGAGTTGGTGGTTGATGCTTTTGTTCTCGTGGAGAAGGTAGCATTATGGTATTTTGTTGTTTTGATTAGCTGCAATAGTGTTTCCAATTCCTCGCTCTTGTTTGTGAAAAAATAAATTGAAGCTTTTGCTTGATTTCAGTCCTGATGAAGGTATCTTGTGGCTGATATACAATTTCCCAATTAAATGTTCTTTAGAGAAGCTAATCTTGTTTGTTATGATTCCTGGAGTGTACTAGTTTAGAGGTTGGATTGAAAGAAGGGAAGAAATGCTTTTAAAGTTTACTATAAAGTTAGCCTGTGCTCCAGTTAGCAGTTAAGTTTTTCCACATTTCTATTAGTTTACTCATCTGAATATTTGGGTTCCATTTCCTTTTGTTTATTGATTATTACAGGATTGTCAGAAGTGTTGTCGTGTTTGGGACATTAGTTTTATCCTTTTCAGATGTCTGTTAAAATGTTGACAAAACAACTGTAGATTATTTTAAAAACAGTGATCAAATAATCAGAGCAGTAGAAAAAATACCATTTTAACAAGACTGAAATAGTTGTTTGTAGTTTAGGATTTTCTGCTACATTTATTGTTTAAACCTATAAGTCAAATAATTATCTGGAAAAATAATTTTGTTTTCTTATTGTTAAATACTTCCAGTGTAGGTAAAATGAAATATGCTAACTTTTGTTAATGTTGTAGTTATATTGCATCAAGGAGCCTAATTTTTAATTTTTTTTTTATTAAATGACCTGTTATTGGAGTATGGCTCTGATGCTGAGTTGTCTTTGTGTATTAGGATTAAAAAATGATGATTCACCAGTAGCCGATTGATTTTTATTTTTTTTTTTTCCAAACGGTTAGTATAAGGTGTTTTCTTTCTGGATTCTTCTGTAAAAACTTACTTGGACAGGGGAAAAAAGTGTTTGAAATTAAAAAGCAATAGCTGAAGAATGTAATATGCAAATCCTGCATTGTGTTTGAATGGGCATCACATGGGCACATGGTTCTTTTGCAGTCAGTGTTACCTGAATGAGAAAGGTGTTTTTTGTTTGTTTTTTTTTTCCTGTGAAAACTATATGCCTAAGCTTAAGTTTTGGTGCATAAGTTTATGCAGTGTTGGGATGGAATAGTAGGAATTTCCTGCAGCAGTTTTGGGGGGCAGTCAGAGTTTGTTCTGCTTTGTTGTTGGCAGCATGTGGCACCCTCGTGCTGCTGCCTCACAAGGAGCGTTTTGATTAAACTCGTGCGTGTGTACAGTGTGACAAGCTAAACTGCACAGTGTCAGAACCAGATACAGGGAGAGAGCAAACAGCAGCATCAGACAAGTAACTTAGAAGGAATTACTATTCAAACTACTGTTTAAAAGAAGCGGATAATTTATGGCTGGGATTATAGGATAGTATTTTTGGGGTTTTGTGGAGTATTTTTGGTTTTGGTTGTGAACAATGTAGGGAAATATCTTTTTAAGATTACAAAATTAATGAAAATGCTTCTTTAATTATATTTTGAGTGCAAACTGCTTGTTTCTAAATAACTGTTATATTGCAAAAATACCTGTAGGCATCCAAATTGCTTTGCTAGGTCTAATAAAGCTGTATGACAGAGAAAATCTCTAGCGCCATGAACTTAATTTTGTAATTTTACAGTGACATAAAGTAGGCAATGGTGTCTTCTTAGGAGCTTGGGACAACCTGATCTTTAAAATACTGGAATCCAACTCAGAAATAACAGATGGAAATCATAAATAGTAGACATTGTCTTAAGTACTTGATTACCAGTTAAAACGTCTGTAATAGCAGTATACAGTATAGCATTTGGATTATTTTTCAAACATGTTGAGAAGCCTTGGAAAAGACAAAAATACTTTGAGTAGGCTTATTGCTGGTATGATGCTGGTTTTCCATAGGCACTGTACAGTAGAAAATTGTTTTAGTCACTTTTCTAAGTAACAAGCTATTCAAGTTCCATGTCTGAATTAGTCATCCCGGAGTTCAGTGGTTATGAGGGGTTTCCTGACCCAGAATGCTTAATGATTTAAGGGTGAGGGAAGACTCATGAGATCTGTGGTGGCTCAGGAGAATGTTTGGCATCAGTGCTGTGAATTTTAGGGTAGTAGTGTAGATGTGACAGCCATCTGGTCATTTTGTTTCTTTGTTTTTAATGAGAAATATGAAAAAAACTTGGAGGAGGTTTTTGAAAGAGGGTGCTACTTCATGGAGCTCTCCCAACCCCAAGGGCAAGAGAAAAGAAGTTCAGAGGTGAAAATATAACAGTTCACCAGAACTTTAACCTCATCTACATCCTGATTAGTAATTTTAGAATGAGGACCTTGACCAGTTAGGGTCTTGAAGTAGAGAGTGAAGTGAATGCTGCTCAAGAAGTGAGATGGAGAAGGACTTGTGTGATCTGGCTGTAGGCTAAAAGTGTTGAGAGAGGAATGTTCATAAGGATCAGTTCTGGATCTTGAAAGATGAAAATTGCTTCACTATTTCAGGTGTGAACTTCTGTGGTCTCATGATAAATTTCCAGCTACTAGAGGGATATCTTAGTGATGTGATGGACATGGCTAGGATCTCAACAGCAGGTTATTTCTAGGACCTATAGAGGACAAGCTGGATTGGAGAGCTAATGCTTAGTTAAGTTCAGGACTTGCAGTAGTGGAAAGGAGACTGAAGCAGTGGTGGAATGAATATAACCTGTGTTTTCTGTGCTGAGGCTGAGCTGATTGTGAGGCATCAGTGTGGGGAAAGAGAGACTCAGGCTGGGGTGTTGACTTGGACAAGCACAGGAGATAGGGAGTAGAAAGAATATTTCTGATTCATGGCAGGGAGTTCATGGTTGAGTCTGAATCCTGGCCCTGGACTGAGTGAAGACAATTGGCAAGGGGTGCAAGACCAAAGCCTAGGAAGTGATTAATAAAATAATACAGGTGAATGAGGAGGCTCCTTCAGGAGGATGCACTGAAAGAGCAGTGATAAGGGATGAGTCATGAGAGCAACAATGCCAAGGGAATGAGGGAGGGAGAGTTATTTCTGGAAAAGAAACGTTGCTGGTAGTCTTGGGTTTTAGGTTAAGGAAGAGAACAAATAGATGTTGATTCTGAGCCTCATCAGAGTGTTAGGCTGCAGGAGATGTTAGAATGCTTTCAGTGACGTTTACGGAGTGGAAACAGGATAATGTAGACTATAGGACTAGAGTTCATGGATGAGTTCTTCAGGCTACAGTTTTTACTGTCACTGAAAGTTTAAACAGTGCTTATTAAGATTTGAGTAGTAGCATAACTACTGCTATTGTATTGTGTATATGCACCTGATGAGTGTTAAAGATTGGGAAAAACTTTTTCACAATCAAATGAATAGATGGTTTCGTGTGACTAACATTTAAATTGTTATCAAGGAGCAAGAGCTGTTAAGTCAGACTATTGGGAAATCCTTGTGAGCAATATATTCTTGAAGGAGTCTTCTGAAATGCTGGCAAATACTCTTTTTAACCTTTTAACCTTCCCCTTTCAGTAGAAGCAGTTTTATGGAGTTAAGGTCTTAATTTGGATTTTATTTGCTTTTGCTGTGTATTCACTATGTTAAGTAGCTCTTTGTTGTTTGACTTATTCTGGTTGATACAGAACACAAAGAAAGTCTGAAAATAATCTTTCTATAGCTTGATTTCTCCAGAAATAATCTGTAGACTATTGTATTTGGCATAGTATGTGTGTGCTTGCTACAGCCAATTAAAAGGCAATATCCTTTGCTGATATCTCTTTGCAAAAATAGTTCTCTTTAAAGTATTGTTCTATGAATTGCATAATGATCATGGGTTTGTGAATGAGAGTGAGTTTTTTCCCTCTGACTTTCTAATTTCTATTTTGCGGTAGTAACTTATTCTAGGACTATTTTTCGTTATTTTGAACTCCAATTTCTGTGTTTAAAAAAACTGTGAAAAGAAGAGCAAGTAGCCTGTAGGTGTGTATAAAAGTCTTTCTGAAAGACTTGTGGTGCCTTCACAGGTACAGATTTTGAGGA